AGTCTGGGATTTCTGGAATATACGGATTAAATGATTGTCCTGGATGATCTCGATTTCCAACACCCACTGGATGTGCTGAATATCCCGGATCTCTGATCTCAGGAATTTCTGGCTGCTCTGGATACCCTGGATGTTCTGGCCTAATTGAATTTTCAGAACTGTCTGGATTATCGGGGAACTCAATGAGTACTGGATTCTCGGAATTGTCTAAAGGGAGACATACACAATCATAGGATGAGATATCCCTCTGGCCACACCTGGAACAAAATATTTTTGGTTGGTGTCTGCAGGCACTACTCATGTGAACTTGCAGTCCACATCTCCAACAAACAGTTTCACTGTTTTGAAGTCCTATATTTTGTCTTCTCTCCTGAGTATATGTCCTAGAACTAGGTTCTCCATACCTAATCGGTTCTAGACAAAATGACACAGGTGTGAATGGTGGCAGATAGTGTTAACACTGGTAGGTTTGGTATATATCTTTTCTCAGTCTTTCATATTCTACAATTGCTGAGATTAGTGATGATACATCCTGGAAATCAGTCTTTCTGATGTACAGGCGGAAGTCTGGCAGTAGGTTCTGGTATAGCCAAGTCAATTCTTGTGCTTTATCAAGAGTGCCTCATCTTCGGATCAGTGTCTGCATGTCTATCACATAATCTCTAGCTGGTTCTTCCAATGTCTGTTTCCTCTGGATGATATCGATCTGGAGCTGTTCATGATATCGAAATGGAAAGTATGCTTCCTGGAAACACTCTTCGTAAGCTGGCTAGAAATTCCAGTCGATATTATCACAGCGGTACAATAAAAGAGCTTTTTCTTGTAATACTTCAGGTAGCATTTCCAGGAGCTGGTCTGGTTTGATTTTCTTCACATTACCAATCTCCTCCAGGCCTTCCAGGAAATCTACAGGGTCTGATGTTCCATCACATTGCACATTACAGTGGTAGGGTTCCCATCCACATGGGTAACCCAGGACAGTAGTTTCAGGACTATCAGGAGGTGTTGCAGGACTATCTGAATGTGTTTTTGGAATACCTGGAGTTGTTTTAGGACTATCTGGAGAATCATGAGGTTCAGGAATATCTGGAAAATCTGGAGGCGGTTTCCTCACAAGAATCTCAGGACTACGGGCTTATTTTTCAGGTACCTTCACCTTCAGGAACCACATCAAACTATTCTGTAGCATTTCTACAGGACCTTCAGTTTTGAGACCATACATTCTCAGCTCCCTGATGAATTCGGATTTGTTCAGGTTATATTTATACCTAACTCACTCTCGGGTTCAAACCTGATATGTGTTCTCCGTAGCTCTCTGGACCTGGATTCCTGGATTTTCGGAGGTTTTCACACAATTTACATATATCATCAACAATATCAGGGCCTAACATTTTATTCAACTGATTGAATGGGCTGGAATATCAGGATGATTATCAGGACAAAATGTATTCGGAAATTAACGAATTTGACTCTCTTGCTGTCTCGAAATTCAGTGACTCTCATAACAAGAAAAAATATCTGAACTCAACAAATAATGATTACTGGATTTCTGGACTTCAATTTTGAATTTATTTATAGCTCAACTCAACTGGAACTGTTCTCTACAAAAATCAGCTTCAAATTCCTAATAAACTCTCAAGAAGCAACTATACAGATACTTGGAAAAATGTTGTGATTTTGATTGCAAACAATGAAGTACTGATTCAGGAGAAAAAAACTGTACTGGACTTATATGGAGCAACTTTTCTGTTGAACGGGACTGGACTATTTTCTGATTCGATAACCAAGAAGCTCCTGCTTGGGCTCCATTTTCAACACTCTCTGGTATTTGACAGGGGAAGGATTCTCGAGCGCCAGATTGTTTTCGAGGTAGTTTACTCTACCTGCTCTGCACAAAATATTTACAAAGGCCCACAGTAGCAACAGTAGAGAAACGAACAGGAGGTATATCTTTCTCGGTACCCACAGTATAAACCAGGGGTCAATGGTATTGAATCGACCTGAAATCAATTAGTAGCCACAGGACTTGTAGGCTCCAATTACAAACCCTAGGTTTGGCCTGGAATACTAGTTGCCAATTCCAGTCTGGATGATTATAGGAATCAAAACAAATATCATTCGGGACTCTCTGGTAATCTGAGTTTTTTTTATCGCTTGAAGCGCACGAAAGGGAATCTCTATAATGTTCAAAGAACATCATGCGTTCCTAGGAAGGATAGGGACAGGAGGTAGGTATTGGAATGTTTTTTGTACTTTTGGAGATTATATGTTGTATATAATAAATATGTATTATAATACTTCCACAGGCAATGAATTCCAGAGCCTAGCCGTTCTATGGATGAAGGAGTCTTGATTAAAATGCTGTTCGACATCTTCCGAGGTTGACAACGAAAGGATGTGGTGACTGGGCTTGTCTAGTTCGTCTGATTGGTATCGCTAGTGGAGGGATGATAGCAGAGATTTCCGAAGAACATTTCCTGTGGAAGTATCGATAGAAAAGTGGAAGGTCGCCGACCTTTCTACGGTGTTCCAATGATGTCAAAGAGTGAGTGAGTGTGGCGTCACCCACCAGGCAAATGGCTCTTCTCTGGATGGAATCTAATCATTTGTGGAAACAGTATTCTGGAACAGGCCGTATCTGCGCTTTGTAGATCATGAGAAGCTGTTGAGGTGTAAAGTAGCTTTTCGCACGGAACAAGAATTCGAATTTTTGTGAAGCAGCTTTTGCGATGGATCTGACATGATTATCCTATGAAAGAGTGTTGCTGATGGAAATACCGAGCATAGATATGATGGGCTTGGTGGGGATGGTAGAGCCAGAAATTACAATATCGGGCATACTGAGTTCCGCCTTTCTAGAGAAAATGCAGGCTTGAGTTTTGGTGGTGTTGAATTCAACTAGGTTGTTTGTTTCCCAGGCTGTGATGCTTATGCTACTGAATGAATTTGTCTGGGAAATATTCAATAACAACAAAGTTATGAGCAGTAAAACACCAAGCATTTCAACAGGTGAATAATTCATCTAATTTCATATCATAAGCAGAGTGTGAGGAAATATGGAAGTCTTCAGGGTTGTTATGATGTTCATGAGAGTTTATCATCAGAAAAAGCTTTGGGAAGTCAGGAATCAATGCATTACTCAGCTCTCTCAGGTTTTCAGGTTTTCAGGTTTCGAGCTTTCGAACAGGTGAAATCCAACTAGAATCAGTCTCAGGTATTTGGATTTCGATCAAAACCAGTCTAGTAATGGAGCTGGACAAAACACTTTATTACACTGCTAGAGATGTCGAACAACACTCTTCCAAATCTTGTTCGTCTATAGAACGGCGAAGATTTGTAATTCTCTCTCGAGGACGTGTAATCTCCAGAATACCTATCTCCTTCTCATAGGTTCGCATGATGTTCTTTGGACATAGAAATATTCTTCCGTGCACTTCAGGATATGAAAAGAAGTTAATTGATGTTCCTCTCAGGTTCTCTAATGGAGAAAAAAATATACAGAAAGAGTGACATTCTGGGAGAAACCATCCATCATCCGGTTTGCCCTCATTTCAGGTATATCGAAATGATTTTCATAATTTGAACGCATAGAAACAAGGGATAGTAATCTCAGGAGATCCGCAATAATGAATATTTTCATATCATTGCCAGCCACGTGAGTTACCACATTCAACTGTAAGCAGTTGAACTATAGCATCCTAGGCATTTGTCATATTCATAATCCTGGATTACTGTGAGAAGTTGCTTGATATCATCATCATTCCTTTCTCATTCAAATGAATCGTTATAAATAATCAAGAATTTATTGACTTAGCAGAACCCACTTGAGATGTAAACTCTTGTCATTTTCTCTCAACCTCTGAATATTCCTCCACCTTCAGAAATTCTAACATGTAGGACCGATTTCTCGCATAACCTCAGGAATTGTGTCTCCCACAGCAGTTCAATCTAGGTTCAATGTACGTCCACTTCGATTCGTGAGGACTTCAAATAAAAGTACTCGTGTGGCCGTTCAACGTCCTATTAACGTCTACTGGACGTATAATGGATGTCTTCATTTGGATGTACAATGGATGTTTATATTTGGACTCAGCATCTATTGAACGTACCGAATTGGACGTTTGGACGTTGAACGTCCAATGTGAGTTCACTTTGTACGTACAGTGGATGTTTATATATGTAGGTGTATAATGGATCTTTGGAAATCAAATGATAAAAAATCAGTAGGTAGCTAAAATTGCTTCTTCTATTCAGATATATATTTGGTGTCGATTGCATATATATGAAATATATTGTCGATCCATGTCTCCTTCAGTCTACTTTGAATTCCTGTTTCTGTGAAAAAAAAAAAACAAATCCTGTTCATCTTAACTCTGACTGGTTAATGAAGCCTTATTTGAGAGGAGAATACATTGCTTTATACTCAGGTACTTCTTCTATCTAATTGGAAGGAAAGACAACCTGTAGGAGCATGAGATTATGACTGCTAACTTCATTAGATAATAATTATATGAAGTCACATTCGATCATTCATGCTCCCATACCTACTTTGAATGGTCAGGTCCTGAATATTCTGCATTCCACAATTTATCACAAACACATCAACTAAAAATGGCATCAGGATCACGCCAGATGCAACCGCTACTCTACCAAACGATCTGACTTTCTGCCGCTCTTCCGCGTGACTGAACAATCAATAGTCTCACGTCCATCTCTGAACGTACAATGTACGTTCATTTAACGTCCATAAACATTGAGATTCGGAATGATTCCATATAGACATTTACTTCACAATTCTTCATATACTCATAAATGATGTTCATTCTTCATCAATGAATGCTTGAACTTAGGATAACCGTTAAATATGCATCCAATTCAAGTTCAATTATTTCTTCTCCTGTCTAGGAAATGAATTTGTTCCACAAGAAACAACTAATGAACTCGAACACTTCAGTGTTATTATTGAAATTACTGATCACAATAATAATGATTCAACTCACCTGGTGGTAAGAAATAAATAGATTCCTCAGAATTGAATCCGATCATACTAGGTACATGATTGAAATTTCCATCGATGAAATCTTGATGCATGGGAGTCGTGACGAAAGCTTGTTCATCTCCTGAATTCTCTACAATAGGTGACCATATTAGCTGCCCAATAAATCCAAAATAGACAGAATTTGGAACCTGAAAAGTGAATAGTAATATGAGCTCGTTCTGTTCTCATTAGCCATCATGAAAAATATCAATGGAGGTTGAGAGACGAGTGGGTATAGTGTTACTTCGAATTTTGCTTTAGTAATGACTATATATAGATTTTCTGTTCTGACTGAGAATCGAAGAAATTGAATTATTTGTGGAGGGTTATTTCGAATCCCAAGTAGGAGCACAAATTCAACGAAGAAATGATAGTTTCATCGCAATTCGATGAGCGTGGTGTGATACACCAACAAAAATCCTAGGAATTCTTGTGATAACGCGTTACTCAAAAGAAACCTGTAACTAACATGACATTACAGGTTTCTTTTGGGTAATCACTTTACAGTTTTCTTCTTTCCTTCACTCTTCAACAGGTTCTATTTTCACTTTCGACAGTGCTTTTGCCTTCCATTGTTTCAATAATGATCAAGTTACGCAGAGCTTCTTCAGCGTCCCATGAAGAATTCAACTTTCCTCTTGGGGGATTGGGCTTTTTGCCTTCCTCCCAATTCCTCTAACACTCCAATTCTAATCAGTACAATCAATAAATGATGATCAAGTAATAATTTTTTCGCTTTCACGATGCATTGAAGTAATTTCCACGTGAGTACAAACTTCTTATCTATGGTTCTCCATTTTGTTTTTCAGAATTTTGATTTGATTAAATTTTGTTCCTTACTTTTATCATCAATTACTGATAAATTATCATTGTATACTCATAAAAATCACTGTTGCTCTTTGATCTAACTGAAATTTGTTAATCATTCCAATTTGAATTTACAACTGTTGTCTTTTCCATTTTCAATTTTTCTTATATATAAAATCATGTTTGGTTTTCTATTGAAGATACACTTTGTTATATTTTCTTGACTGAAGATGGTCATTTGAATGGCGGAAACATGTATCAACCTCAATGAAGCAGGATTGACTGCCTGATTATACATTAAAAATTGTGGAGACGACTTTGGGTTTTTTTCTCTATTGAGTATTCAACATCATTCAGTAGATTCAAGAAGTGTACCAATCTGGGTATTGATAAATTGAAGGAATAATCGTTTTCAACATGTGTTCAATGGATAAGGAAGGATAGAAAATGAAGAATATGATATCGAACGCAAGAAAGAAGCTACCCCGTTTGCGATCATTCCACCTCTAGGATAATCAAAATGGACTCAAATAGAATGTTGGATTCGTCCGTCATAGCTGAAGTCGAGAAGCCAACTTATTGTTGCGGTTCGATGATTGTGGAATATCTTGAAGATCATCAACTCTGCACTGATTGAACGCAATTCGATGAATTTTTTGAGGGAAATCGAATCGAATGAAGCCACGTTTCTCCTTGGAACTTGATTGTGCGTACAGATTTTGTCACACTGTAAGGCTTTTTTATTATTCCTTGGTCCAGGCCTTACAGTAAGCACCCGAAACGCATAAATACATTGACAATACTGCTTTATTTACAAATTAAATGAAAAAGATTCGGGCGCCAGTTATTTCAGAGTGGTATGCTCCACTATATGTCCCCTCTACTATACTTGACTAGAGGGGCCCCAAAGTAGCATCAGATGGAGATACGGTTTGCCAGGAGTTCGATGTTATATCAAAAATTACTCTATGAACTACCTCCTTCGTTGCTGAAGTCTGCCATCTATTTTTCCCCAGACAGCCTTGACTGTGCTATGGACAAATGACACTGTTCAGTCTCCGGACACCCGACTTTTTTTTTATGCGACAAGGCGTGGAGACGGATCAGCGGTATGGCACCCTCCGCACTGGATAGGTATTATTCCATACTAACGAATTTATTTATGAAAATAAACCAATCAAATCGAACTTATGGTAAATCAGGGAACTAGGTTTTCACTATATCTCTGATAGCGAATGAAACCAGCTTCTAATCAGAAAAGGAAAACAATATATTGTTTCAACTACTGAAATCAAATGTTACATAAGTATGTTACAAAAATATCTTCACTCTACATAGAATTACTATTTGTTGACACAACAAAAAAAAGTTGAAATAAATCACTCGAATGTATCATAAGAGAAGAAGAGGTTTGGACCACTGTTGATTCCCTAATTTCACAATAACAATCATGAGTGAAGACCTGGAGCTGAGAACAACCGCACTAAACTGGTAGCGATGGAACCAAAGTCACGTTATCAAAGTTTACTACAAATCGGAGGTAATCTGAGACCGTTTTCGGCATACGGAGAGAAACAATATGTTATACTACCCGAAAAATTACTACTGAACCCGGCCGGTACATCCCTGGTTCTATTTCGACAACCTGCTAGGTGTCTAGGCTCATGCAGTCGTGACTGTGATAAGCATACACACTGCTGGTCAGTCACCGTCCACCCGACATTTTTTTTTTGTGCGACAAGGCGAGGGGACTGTTCAGCTGACTAGCTGGTTCTCTGATAAAAAGAGGATGTGCTCTACTCAAGAGGACGTTTGAACTAGATAGGAGAAAAAAAAATACTCAGTCCGTTTCTGAAGTATACCCTGTATTCCTCCTCAGACAGTCGTGACTGTGATAAGGACAAACACCACTGTTCAATCACCGTGCGCCCGACTTTTTTTTTTCTTATGCGACAAGGCGTGGAGATTGACCAGTTCTGTAGAAACTTCCGAAAGGGAGGAGTTCAATTAGAAGTGAACCACGGAAGTTTTATGATATGATTACTATATATGGAAGTAACCAATGAAGTACTTCTGGTGTAGGTCTCAGATTTTCTCGTATTGAAATTTAAGGACGAAGGAATTTTGAATTTAATTCCATCAACTACTCACATGAACTCTATTTCTGACCTGTTACTAACAAGCAAATTCTCGTTCGGGTTTTGAGCGGCTAATCCAAGAAGGCACTATCGGTTGCGGTTTCTACTGACTCTCGGCGGATTCGCGACACACTCACGGACAGGATGAACTGACTTCCCCTTTTTCCAACTCACTTCACTTTATATAGTTTTATTCAAGGTTCTATTCAAAAACGGGTTTGAGGATCAGAAAAAGTACAAGGTTTCCTGAAAAACACCGAGGCCAGTAGGTAAAAACTATTTGTGCAAAACCGATGTGACCCGGAGTGATAAAAACAGTTGAATGAAAGAAAGGAAAAATAGATAAGCAACAGTTTTTAACAGAACAATACTATCATCAATAATAAACTAATATCACCCAAATAAATAATCTAGGAACCCTTATAAACTTAATTACTGAAAAAGTAGGGTAGTAACGAAGCATTGTGCAGCAACCTCCAGGATGGCAAAATCGCCGAAATCAACGTATACACTGCTCACCAATAAGAATGACTGTTTTAGAAGTATACACTGCTCACCAATAAGAATGACTGTTTTAGAAGTATACACTGCTCATTAATAAGAATGACTGTTTTAGAAGTATACACTGCTCATTAATAAGAATGACTGTTTTAGAAGTAGACACTGCTCGTCCAAAAAAAAATGCTTCGTTACAAAACATTTCCAAAAGTGTGATCGACCGACTCCAAGTTTTCAAATCTCCATTGTGAATATATTGGATCACTTCGAGTATGGATGATTTCTGCGATTATTGATCAACACGATTTGGTAGATATATGTATAACATAATACTTTCGGTATCACAGCAGATACTGAAGCATACCAGGAAGCTATGATAAGAGTACTAGAAGAATGAAATAATGCATAAATGTACATACATAACATTATCATTTTTGCCATCGTGAAAATACGATAAAACGTTTGACAGAGAACTATAGAAAATGAAAAGAAGTGAATTTTCTACGCAGAACTTTTTATTTAAGTGAATATCGCAAGAAATGGAGAAATTGAAACTGATTCAGATGCAAACGAAACCATCGCAGACATTCAAAATCCCCAACTGGTATTGTAAAATTTTATTGGAAATGTTCAATCCGCTTGCTAAATTTATTACAGATCCAGCTGTACATACATTCAGACAATTCATTGAAGAAAAACAAGGGTTTCGTCTGGTTGATGAAACTCATGGAATGCTTTCTGAAACTGAACACCATGATATCTCTACCTCCAGTTTTATTTTTATATGATGACAAAGATAAAACACGCATCCTTTTTTATGTTATTTCTTATGAACCAAGTGTAGTTTTACATTAATAACAAAAAAACTCTAACTGGGAACCTGCATTGTATGGTTTCAAGTCGAATTTGAACTGAACAAATGTATGGACAATCGGAAAATGAATATATTCAACAAGTGTGTAGGTTGGATCTATTTTCCACGAGTAAAAAATATTGACTCATGACGTCGAAGGTGGAGTAAGCAATTTTTATGAAGTGAAAAAAATCATAGGCACGTAATACATACAATGTTGCCTCAACAACTGTCCAGAAGGAGAACAACCCCATTCATCTCATGATTTGAATTAATGATTAACACCTTCAGCTCATCTGGATGAATCGCTCATCCCTCTCGCGTTCAGCGATGCTGATTAGATCAAAATGAGATGCGAGCATATTATCATCCTAGACGCGAGAATATAGTGGCTCATTTTCCCAGCTTCTATTTCTATTCCACCGCCACTCCATACGTGATACGAAGTCAGCCGCCCCCATCCGGTCGCTTACTTCCTTGCTGAATTTCGTGAAGGAGTTTATAGACTGCGTTGTTGGTATTTTGTTCGTGAAGCAAGTATGTTCTAACAAGAATGAAGCAAAACCGAAATTTGATGTGTGTGACTAGTGTCATTTTCGTACGGACAGACTTGTTCGTCAAACAAAACAGCCACAAACAAAGCAGTATATGGGCCCCTTCCACGCAAATATTTATTTTATCGCCAAGCAGCAACCGTGGAAAGAGGGTACTTCCTTCACACTCTGCCGTAAAATAATTGAACAGTATTATAAGATTGAGAAATGTACGCTCTAGGCACAACGAATAAATTCAGAGACTGCAGTTGTGACTGATTTTTTTATGGGAATGCGAACAGATTACTTCGCTGAGAGTT